GATGGGAACTGAGTAACTTAAATACATGATATTAAATTTACCTGATCATATAGGATTGACTCAATTTAAGCATACATGAAAATGTGTAGGTACTTGTCAGATGCAGCTTCATCTTTATAATATTTTTTTAAGATATTCAGTAGGATGGATAATTTATTTTCAGAGCCATTGTGACACACTGACATTTGAGTTGTTTAACTTGATTTGATATATTACCCTTTTAAAAAATATAGGATAAATGCCAAATGCCTCTATGATAAACTTCAGTGTTTACAGCACAGAATTATTAATTAAATGTAGTTCTTCATTTGAAAAAAAGTAAGTTTCTTTAGCTTTATCAATTGGAGTGTGAATTAATTTAATGTTGCTTGAAATATAGGAATTGCCAATTGCAGTTATTTTTTTTATTATATTTCTCTTTAGTGAAGCACATGCCCCATTTAGAGTTTTCTCTTCCCAGGATTTCTTCTCAAGATCTGTACTTTTTAATTTAGCCTTCATGGGCATGTTGCAAATATTCTACCCTGCTATGTTTTCCGGGTCTATTGTAGTAGAGCCAATTCTTCATTTCTCTGCTTCTCACCTGTTTCTGTCTATTTATTTGTGTATAAGATGTCAAAGGAAAATGAAAAGTAACACCTCAAAATACCACCTTGAAAAAGAAAATGCCAACAAATTCTTTTCTGCACCTGAAGCTTTTAATTCTTTAATCCACCATGGAATGTTGCTTAATTACATATTTTATTATGCATAACTGAAAATTATGTACTTTAGTTTCAACAATGATATGAAAGCACGTATTGTTTATAAATACAGAGAGGCTGGCTTGTCTCTATTTTTTTATACTACAAATATTTGTAGAATTCTCACAGGTTCTTCTAAAATTGGCTTTTTGAAAATTCTCAGAGCTCTGAGAAGGACCTCAACTTTTAATATTTTTTCTAGAAGTCAGAAAATTCATTACATTCACAAGTTAGGATGATGCTGTAACATCATGATGGGCAAATGGCATGGAGCAGTTGGGATGCTTTCAAGGAAGTCTCATCTTTATTTTAATGCCTTTCGCAATTTATTAATGGAAAATGTTTCAGCCGTTGAATGAGTGCGAGTTCTTGTGGGTTCATTATACTATTCTCTATTCTTTTGTGTTTTAAAATTCCTATATACAGTTAGTGGTTTTTTGTTTTGTTTAAGAACTGTACTTGTCTCTGACTTTGACAGTAGGAGGGCAGAGTTCTGCAGTTTATATTTTATAATGAAACATTTCATACACTTGATTTCAATTACTGAACAATGGAATTCTTTTCATATTAGCAAACTACGTGTTACGTTTCTGAAAAGTTGTAATTGCATTATTGCTTTTTCTGTATTTGAGGCAGCTTTTATTAAGGTAGTATTTGAAATGTGTAGAGAAGAGTTGGGTGTGAGTTCTTGTGGTCACTACAAAGCTGAACAGATCAGTTACCAGATTTTAATTTCTCTTCCCAGCTTTCTGTGTCTGCCTCAAGCACCTCACAGTGGGATGAAGGGTTAAAACTGGATAGGTGTGTGGGGTACCTTATAAAAGGGGTAAGATACAGATCTTACCATTTGGAAAACGTTTGAAGGGGCTCAGAAGGGCAGGAACCCTTTGGAGGAACTCTAATAAGACCAATAATTGGCAATTAAAACTGGAAACAAAGGCAGTGTAGGTGGGACACACCCTTTGTGGCCTATGGAGCTGGGGTGTGCTTGGCACAGATGTTTTCATCACATGATGGTGAACCTGCTGAATCAATGGATATGTTTGACTATCTGAACCTTCTCAGTATTCTCAACAGACACTATGGGATCTTTTGTGAGTAGAAAATCAGATCGACATGTGGCACGTGTTTTCTTTTCTGGGTTGCATGAATGAAAGACTGTCACTGTAATGAAAGCTGATTTTCATACCACTAAAAAGCCGATACTCAGTAACAGAAATTCCACTAAGCATAAAGAAATAATATGTAACATTTAACTTAGTGCAAAATATGTCACTTTAGTTTCGACAAGTGTTAACTTGGAAAGACAAAATATGTAAGGTTCTCTTTACCCTATTCGGTCCTCATCAACCATTGTCTTAGAGAAGAGGGCCCACAGCAAGGGTATTATCACCCACTTATCATAGTGGGTATTAGCAGTTGCAAACAGTTGACAGGTGAGAGAGTACACAACCTCTATCAAGGTAAGAAACCATGACGGGATTTTTGTAGAATTGTTTTGATGCAATTAATTTTGGAACATATGATTCACATCAGTTAAGGTGATGTAAGAAAGGCTTAAACATACTGCTTTTTTTTTTAAGCATTAATTCCAAACTATTTTTATTTAACATTTGGTATAGTGTTCTGGACATACACCTTCCACCACATTTCTTGAATAAGTTTACTTTTTATTTTATCAAAACTGTGCATGTTTATAATAGATTGTAGCTTAGCTTTTGTCCAAAGACATGCAAGTGTGTAGTATTTACATTTAAAAGGCTTGCCTCAGCAGGAACACTGAATCCACACTGTCCCCTTAAAAGATAAAAATTATTTATTTGTAAGGTAGATTCTAGCATTGGTATGTTTTGATGGTTTAGATATACATTAGTATTTTGGGACCTCCATTAATTTCCACACTATCATACAAATTTCTGGCTTGCTTTAACACAAGTTTTATTTCTATTAGTTATATAAAAGGGCATACACATTTAATTGCTTTTTTTGAAAATATCACCAGGCAGTTCAGAATACCTCATTTATTGATAATATCGTGACAATCAAGGACCTTAGTATCAGCCAATAACAATAGGGATAGGGCAGAATTTAGTCATGGAATGGATGGGATTGTCATTTTTATTCAATCTTGAACCACTTGAAAATGTTTTTCTACTCAAGCTATATATTTTAGATAAGCACAGTTAGAGATAGATAGCACTACTTGGGGGGAAAAAAAAACACTTCTTCTAAGCTCAGAATTCCTTAGAACTAAATGTTAATCAATACACATTTTATACATACTATGTACAGACTTTGTAACAGGGTGCCACACAATTAGGGTTCACGTGTTAGTTACCTTAGTTTTCAAAGGTTATGTGTCAGCTCTGCATATTATATGCCAAGGAGAAACTATCAACATTATTTTTTTGCATATTGTGCAATTATTATATGGCCACAGGGTGTATTACAAATTAGTGGCAAAGTGCTGAGTGAGGATAGGAATCCATGACAGATTCAGATGCACAAGGTTGAATATTACCCGTAAACTACCTGACTCTGCTAAGGTCTTAACAGCACGAAGCGCTATGTCATGCCCAGCCTTAAAAGTCTCTGAAATACTTGGACACAAGAAGCTTGTTCAAGGAATGGTACCATAATCACCGGCAGGAGGAACACTGCTAGGAGTGGCAAATGACATGGAGAAGGGTTGCAAAGTATAAAATCACCATCTTTTCCAAAATGTGTCATCCTTCCTGAAAACAAGTTTACTCACCCCATCATGACCATCATTGTTGTCAGCATGCTTCTTTTTGGCTTAAAATATCAAACTAGCAACATTATGCTGTTTAAGGTGAAGTGTCTTAAGGGAGAACTTTGTCAAGCATTATGTGGATTTTTTTTACATGCACTGAAATGCTACTTCCAAATGAAGTGATTGAAATACTACTTCCAAAAAAGTTATTAGGAATGGAAAAATATTAGTTGCAACTCAATTTTTCCTTCCCCCCAAAATTATTAAATTTCAGACCTGACACTTAAAAGGGCTAGACTAGTTTTAAAAAGTCTCCTCTAACTTGTCCCTTAAGAAAAAAAGGACAGGGTCACTTTCAAACTTCGTAACATACTAGCTGCTTTATGTGTGTGTGTGTGTGTGTGTGTGTATGTTTATACCCCATTGCTTATCAAGAAACTCATCATGTTTGGGGAATGACAGGCAGAGAGGGAAGGGGTGACTTCAGAACCACTTATCAATGAACCCAGATAATCTTAACACTTACGAAACTTTAGAAAGACGAAGCAAATACATAAAGCTAGTATCAAACAGAAAATAATAAATTCACAAACTGCAACACTGGCCCCAATCTTTCTGTGATGATTAGCACACTTCACTTTATATGTTGGCATTTGCTGAGTTTTATGTAGCAAGAATTTGGAATATTGTATTTGAATCCCAGGTGTGTTATTCTTATTCATGTACTTCTTAAAATTATGACATAGACAACCCAATGAGCTCAGAGTGATTAAGTTACATTCCATTTATAACTTAAAAAAATAAAAATACATGACTTACTAAGGAGTTTTTATACAGAAGGCCCAATTTCCCCCACACATATTTTACGTTACTATTGATGGGCTTTAAAAATATTTATACATTAACTGAAAGAAAAGCATTGCCATAATTGAAGTATTGAGGAGTAAATGCAGATGAATTCGTCCTAAGCACCTCACTGCTAGACACTGATTTGTGTTGTTGCTGACAAGATCCTTTGAACATCCTGCTATATCAGCTTATTAGGAAACATGTTAACCCAAAAGAGGTTATCGTCTTCATTGCTTAGCTGAAAAATGAGTAAGAGCATGTGTCTCTGTGATTTAAACTTCCAGTGTTTCCGGTGACTTGTTTCCTATTGTTCTTTTTAAAATCCAGTAAACTATCATCTAGAACGTATCAACATGCACCTAACTCAGGGCCACCCTTTTAAAGTTACTTCACATAAGCAGACAAACCCTACCGTGTCATACCATACAAACAATTTTAATTGTGTAGTTACAGTCAATAACCACTCCTAATCAGAACATTTCTGCATAAAGAAAATTGTGATACACTTATAAAAACAGCCAGCTGTAACAAAATAGCTGGTGTTTTCATAGCCATGAACTCATAAAAAAGAAATACACCTTTATACAGAAATTTTATACAGATGTAGCTTTAAAATTGATTGTAAACCAAAGGAAGACACATTGCAAACATCAATTATTTTCACATTAATTGCATAATTTTCTAAGGTGATCTATTAGTTTTATTTACCTAAGCTTATTTGCATGAGAGTAAAAATTGCATACAACAATCAGAGTGAAGCTTATAGTATGAATTGCTTGGATAACATAGAGCACTTTTTATAGGCAACTGTGTAAAGCACATTTTCTCTATTTAAAACTTTTAAGACACTTTGTTTTACTGCCCATCAAAATACACTTATAAATAGAAAAGAATCAGTATGGTAACAAGAGAAGCAATATTACATTTAACGGAAACTTCCAAAAAATTAATTACAACATGATGCTGCGGGATCTACAAATAAATAATGAGGACTAAGTCGTGTTTCACATTTTTTTTTCATTTTTTTAAAAAAAAATCATGTAACAATGAGTGAAAAAAAAATTACAGTGAACTTTTATTTCCAAAATAAAAACAAATTTGAATTACGGCAGTGCCATATAATACAAGGCATTTGTTGGCATATGTCATCTTTAAACTGCATTCCACAGTCTATAGTTCTTTTTGTAACATACAATAGAGTAACAAACTCTTTTTTTTCCTTTTTCTTTTAAATAAGGGGCGAGTTTCCAAAGATCAGTGTGGAGTGTTACAGAAATAATTAAAGGAAGGAAGTAATAATCACAGAAGTTATAATGCTTGTTGGAGGTTCCAGAATAATAATTCAAAAAAAAATATATATCACTGGCGTCATGCTAACCGCGCACACCTCCCTGTGCCCGCGAACACAAAGCTTAACTCTGAATACCAAACAATCCTTGATGCTTCACCTGGGGCTGCCAAGCAGTTTGTAAAACAGAGTAAAACATTTAGTGCAGTCTGAACCATCCTTTCCCGACTATCCTGTTTGTGCAAGTTTCTGAAGATTCATTGGCCAAACAACGAACAAGGGTCTTCCGAGAGACTGCCAGGTGGACCTCTCCTTCCGCGAGTAAATACCAGTGGCACTGTCGAAGGACAATAATACTTTGTCTCAGTCTTTCAAGTCAGCGTTAATGTCTGTGTTCCCTTCCACCGCGAGCTCTGCTTCCAGTTTCACCGAGAAAAGGGTGTTGGCATTTTTATCTTGCACGCTCTCTTCTAGATCCTTAAGCAGCTCCTCCTCTTTGTATTCGGCCACATCTACCTCTAGCCCGGAGTTGTCCTTCAGCTTGCCGTGGTGCTTGAGATAGTACCGCTGGTTCTGAAAGAACTTGATGATGGTGTACTTGGGAAGGTCGAGCTGGGCGGACAGAGTCTGGATGGCCTCCTCGTCCGGGTATAGGCCCACGTCTTGGATGAAACTCTGGAGGATCCCCAGGGCTTCCACA